TTCCGTAAACGGTAGTTCTAAGTGTAGGGTATGTACAAACAGCGAGAACGAAAGCATTATGATGCACAAAATGCAAATAGTTACCATGTTCAACGAATGCAACAACCTCTTTAATGTGGGGCAGAAATCGGTGCTCCCATGTAGTGGCAGAGCAAGACACTTGCAAGATATATGGCTTTGAGGAATCCACTTCGGGGAAGTGAGTGTACCGGAGCGCTTGCTAATACGTATATCTTCGGAGGGTATGGATTTGTCGAACAGTGCCTCGCGGTGCATATACAACTGGAGACATCACTCCGTGGTTCTGATGTCCACAACGCTCTAGGCAGTACCTTGCGCATTTATTGTGTTGTTGGGCTGAGTGGTATTAATCAACACCCCACTAAACAAAAGTCAGGTAGCACTGCTTGCAACTCTCCTAATTGTCGCTGAAGCAGTATCATCTAAAGGCAACTGCGCATTCATAAGATATGGTGCCGAATGCTCGGCAATGCGGCAGAATATCTGAGAAGTTGGGATATTCTGACCACTCACAGTGCGTCACAAAAGCTGGAGATAGGACTCGAAGGAGAAAGCTCAGAATGTGCCCAGTGGTCCGAAATAATCCACATGGTCGCAAATGTGCTGGAGGCAATACATGTTAAATACCAACTGCTTCTCACCGTAAAGTGCTGCATATTGGTTGTTAAATCTACCCAGGATTTTGTCCACCAGCGTTGGGTATTGAGAGCATTACTTTTTGCTGCAATGCACATAAGCTGCAAGAGACAGATTAATGCAGTTTTGGTACATATGTTTTGGCAAGATTGAACAATGCACAATGATTGATCACGGGATAAAAGCAAGTGCTTGACACGTCCCGTAGGATGGTTGAAGTGAATATGATGAAAACAAAATTTATCTGGATCATCTACCGAACGTCTGTCGAGATGAATAGTTTGATAATTAACCCCAGTGTGAAATCAAAAAATTATCGAGCGTAAACGTTCAGAAAGACACTTGGGTGCAGTGATCGTTGATGTAGGGAGTGAGAAAAGTCAAATATGGTTGCTCACTTAGGTCCATTTGATGCATAAATCCTGTTGAAAACCATACTTGGCGTAATCCACAATAGAGGAGTTTAAGTAACAAAATGCTGGGAGCTGAGGACAATATCTAATTTTTTTCGAACACGTCCAAGGTAGGAGAGGATAAAACTGAGTCTGGGAGTGCGCTCCAGAGTTGGCAAACCCGAAGGAAAAAGTAATTCCGTCGACACTCTAGACGGCTATATTTTTCCTTCAATTTTAAGCAGTTACCCCTGAGCTGCGTGTTGTGGCCAAGTTTCAGTAAATGGCGGCATACGTGGTTGGGGTCACTCAGTATCTGATGCGCTAATATGAGATCCCCGCGTGGCCTACGATAGCGTCCGCTGAAAATTCACAGCAACTTCAGCCTTCGGTAGTAAGAGTGATAGCGCAGGCCCTTTACATTCTTTGTTGCTCTTCGTTGTAGTGCTTCTATCACTTCTAGGTCGCGCTTCAACCAAGGTTGCCAAGCTTGGATAGCGTATTCAACATGCAGGCGTACGTAGGAATTGTGCATCATTGGGAAGATTGATGGGTCAAATCACCCGAATGCCCTTCGCAGCATGCCGACGTGCTTGTTGCCTCTTTTCGCAGCTAACTCAGCCTGTTTTGAACAGTTGAGGTCGCTTTGTACGATCATACCAAGGTCACATTCCTGGGAGCTACTCTGCAATCCGTTTATCCCAAGTAAATAGGTGTAGTTAGGTCTATGACGTAATTGTACAACGCGACATTTGTCTACGTTGACTGGTAGGGCGTTTTGAACTGACCAGTTCGACACTGTTAAGACCGCGCTGGAGACGTCCGTGGTCTTCCGGTTCTCTGATCCTTCGCCATATCTTGATATCATCAGCGAAAAATAGGAAATCGGAAGCAATTGATCTCGCCAAATCGTTAATGAACACCAAGAATAGATGCGGTCCAAGAACCGAGCCTTGTGGTACTCCACACACCACGTCGATTTCATCAGACAATGCTTCTTGGACTCTCACCACTAGCCGTCCTTCTAGTAGTAAATTGCTAATCAAACTCAGGATTGGGTCGCCAATGCCGTAGTTCCGAAGATTATGAAAGAGAATTCGATGGTCCAAGCGATCAAATGGTTTTGAAAAGTCCAGGTAAATAACATCGACTCCCACTCCATCATAAACAGATTCAGTTCAGCTATTACGCGCAATTAATAGGTTAGTATTACACGAATGCTTTTGATGAAAGCCATGTTGCTTTGGAACTATTAACTTGTGGCTTTCCAAATACTGCATCAGCGCATCTGCGATGATTGATTCCATCAATTTAGACAGTACGGGATGTAGTGTTATTGGACGGTAGTTGGCAGCATCAGTGCGGCTACCTCCTTTATGGATAGGAGTGATGACCCCTCGCCTCCATTCTGGTGGATACGGTTATCTTCTAGACATCGCTGATAGAAAACAGCCAGTGGTTCTGCTAGATCACTAGCTACCGCCTGCAGAACCTTTGGTCGGATGTTGTTCGCTCCGGTAGAATTGTGGATATGCAAGGATAACAACTTCTTCAACACAGCTTCCGCTGTGAAGGTGATGTTTTCTAAACCAGATGGTGGAGTCTTAGAAATGCGGAGAATGTTAAGGCTCGTTACCTGCTGGAATGTTTGGGAGTAATGAATCGGTAGGAGATCAGCTGCTTCCATTGCCTTTTAATGCAACCGGTCCAAGGTATACCAAGTACTGACGGCATTCAGTGGCCTACCACCTTTCAACATCTTCAAGGGTGCGACATTTTCTAAAAAATTCCGCAGTCAAACATGTGGAGCACAGCTTCAAGCGCTTGTTGATCCGACGGCTGGACCTAGATGGCAACCGAAATCTTCCTTTAATGGGCCCAAAACGCCACAACATTAGAGTCCGTTTCATAGCGTCCAGGCACCTCAAGTGCATGTAATCGGTAGGGAAGCATGAGCCCATGTCCATATCGAGGGCTTCGAAAGATGAATCACCGATGTGATGCTCCTCTTGGCGCCGGGAACCCAAATCTTCATTTGTTTACCAGATTTCCTCCACTGATAATGTGAAATGCAGTCGCCGATATTGATATGGATCTGCAATATGGGAATTTGAGACGAAATGTCAACTTACCAACAGACATACACTGTTCGCATGAGAAATAACCTAAATGTTGTTTAATGAGCTTTAGATAAGCTCTTGCTGACGCATCAGCGACAAGACACTTAAGGTCCAGTTGAATGTATGGATCGCCAGCAGGAATGAACAAACCGTTCTTCAAATCCTGTATAGTTGAATGCACAAACTCTTGAAAGTCTATTAGCTTGCTGCCACCACGGTAAATGTCGACGAAAAAGATGTCCGATTGCGGTTGCATCACCCCAGAAACAATGGGCCATAAATGTTGTCCGGAACTGCGGCATAGGTACATCGCATCTACATGTGATTGCGACGGTAGCTTTGGGGTGGTGAAACAGTAGTTCGCAGGAAAATGCGCCGCAATCCTGCTTCTAGTTCCAAGTGCACGTGCCATCCACCACGGGTGAAGCGTTCGGGGCACTGGCGTGGTGTGTGCATGAGTGTGCGGGAAGATGCCGGCAACTCGGGATGCAAACCCCAGAAATGGCGCAGTAAGATGTTAATCTGCGCAACTGAGAGGTTTGCCTCCAGAGAGCCATCAGGAAGATGTTCCTCGAAAGTTATGTCATCCGAAGGCCGTAAAAGGATGCATTCTGTCACATTAGTGCAACACGTACTCTGGGCTCTCCTTAAATCACGGACCTCTATACGATACTCAGTGGTTACTGCAGAAGCAGTTGCTGCTACAGCTGAAACAAGTAGTTCCGACAAAATTCTGAGGAAGTGCTAACATCAACAGGTTCCGCATCACACAACTAATCCAGCATGCACACGCTCGGTAGCGAAGCTAAATATTGTTGCATATGAGAGAGTATGATGTATATCTGGTGTCGCACGCAACAGTGAAAGCATTCTGAAAAGCTCTTCATCACTTTTGCGTATCATTCGTTGGACACTGGATTTAGAGCATTCTTCACGAGACTTGAGCCGTTTATCATCCATGGCAAACTCTGGGGTAACAAATGGTAATCCAATAGAGTAGCTACGAACTAATGGCAGCGTATAGAGTGATGCATTCAAACAAACATATAACGTATATTTAAGGTAACTGACGAAAATAAAGAGTAGCACTTGTTAACACAGCGATATATGATCGCAAATCTATACATTTAATAACTTTGATACGTATATTTCTTGACCGCCGGAATTTATTCTCAAATCGGGAGATTGGGCGCCCGGTGGTGCCGTCAGGGTGACTGTTTCTGCGGTACCAATTTATTACCTCAAAAGGAAGATTTCGGCCGTTTTATCCAAATGATATGATTAACACAAAACTTTTATAAAGTGTTTAGTAATCAATTGAACCCACACCGTGAATTGTGTTATGAAATGTCTGTCATCTTAATCCACTTAAGACTTAAGTTGCATTATTAACGTCATACAAAGTTGTCTTAAAGACTAGCATTTTATGCGTTGCAATGTTAATTAACTGATCTACTGAAGTGACAAGACAACGTATTTTATTTTCATTAGATTACACTATTCCGCGCATGATGCGTTTGCTAAATCTGTCGCATTACACCAACATAAGATTAACTTTATGCATTAAAACAACTATTTCCTAGGACAGAACTGCAAGGAACACCAACACAAAATCTCTGTGCTGTAATCTATACCCCCAGTATCCGCTGAACGTAAACTAGGTTAATATTGAACGTTATTATTGTGCTTTTTATTTGTGTGTTCCAAAACAACTTGCTAATTTGGTTTACCGTTTGTACTTCCCCGATTTCTGAATGAAGCTCTCAACTGCTTCACTAGCTAAACGAACTCAGTTAAAACGGTTGTCTCAGTATTTGTTTACAATTAAGTAATGGTCAATGACCGATTGGTATCCATCATCACATTACAGGCTATTACGTCACTTGTCTCCTTTCTACACGGACCCATAAGCATTGTCCTATGTGGACATCTTGGTAAACGCACACTTGCTACGGTTGGCTTGGCAATTTCCTTTATCAACATCACTGGGATGGGTGTTGTAACTGGATTGCTGACAGCTGCTGACACGCTGTTTTCTCAGGTGAGTTCCTCCTACTAAACGTGCAGCAGCTTTCTAGTCAGTTTGAACTGTGAGTATGTTGGTGCAACATCCGTGTCCTTTTAGTTGGTCCATAGGATCAATGTTATTCCCCTAAACCATTGTTAATTTTAACAAAGTTTAAACCTGAATGCTTACCAAGCAACAGTGCTACGCAAAATGATAAAGCAATAAGGAGAAAAGTTACTTAACGCTTTATTCTGGTCAATGAGGTCAAATACACAAACAATCAAACTATACTGTTTACATAAAAATAAGTTAATTCGCCGCAGATGAATTACAGAAAACGTGAACTCTAAATAGGATTGAGCTTACTTTATACAATAGATAGTTTGGTACTTATGTCTAGAGTTAATGTACACGAAGTCAGATAATTATGGAAAGCCTGGTTGGCCATTTAAAGTGAATAAATAGATCTCATATTTGTCATAATAATAAACTTGTAATTAGTTATTGGCTCTAGCACAACCGGGGCAGGTAATCTTCGTCTGCTTAAATAAAAAGAGTATCATTGGGGTCAGAAAGGTATATACTATTATCATGGTAAACTATAGCATGACCCGGTCTTTTAATTTAGTGTTTGTACTCATACGTCAGCCGGTGCAGTTTTAGTACCTGCTCCAAATAGGTTGCCACTTTCCTCTTCGTCTCAATAATACAACCGATGCTAAAATACGGCTCATCTGCATGCTGTCCAGTCATCCTGTCTGAGGAAGAAAGGATTGAGCGGCCAAAGCAGATGGTCACTAGGCTGATCCCCAAGTTACGTGGCCTGCCGTCGGAAGACCCGTGTAAGAGACCAGGGTTTTACGGTCTATCCATTCGTTTTTTGAGAGTTAATTTCGTCACGAAGCATTGGATCTTACATCTCGGTGATTTCTCCATATCAAGACCACTACTGCATCTGCGTACAGCAAGCAACACACGAAGACATCGGTAGAAGTTCGCAGTACCAGATTCGAAGCAGGGCACCCACCAAAACTGTTTCGAACGGAGTGATGAATGTATGGAACAACTTACTGCAGCACGTAGGGGAGGGAAGGTCGGTATCAGAATTTAAGAAATTACTGGACGTGCAGTGTACCGACTACCGTGCGCACTACAACGCAACCGATCTTTGTTTTTGAGTGATATTAGATGCAGCTACACAGGAATAACTCTTTTTGCTGCTTCCTGCCAGTATACAGTGTCAAACAATTGTCAACTTTGTTTTCTTAAAAGTCATAGTCACGCACACTAAAGTAACGAAAGTCAAGAAAAAGCAGCTAGATGTTGTATGTTGCCCACCCAAAAACACAGCACGCCATGACGCGTTTCGACCTTATTTGACTTTATCAGTAGCTGGCAGATAGCAAGCCCGACAACATTAATTTGTTAGCTTTGACCGTTAGCGCTAAGCCACCGGGAAACGACGGTCACAGCTAAAATCCTAGTGGTGTGGGCGCTTTTGCCCGCCATCTCTATTTAATTAAATCAAAGAAAGTCGAACCGCGCTATGGAGTGCAGTGATTTCGGGCAGGCAACGCGCACTAGCGACTTGATTTTTAGTTACGGTCCCAGTGATCGCATTGACCAAGGTTCACTTCACTGGAAATCTCGGATCACATTATGATTGCGCGTCGTAACCCATCCACACAACGTTTACTTCGAAAAGTAAGAACACTTCACCGCTGCTTTCCTTCAATATGTGATCAGTCAGTGATACCGAGCGCTTCCGTGTCTAATGCGTACATAGGCTGCAATAGATCTTGAGGCTACAACACAAAACAAATATCTCGTAGGCGGTTGGATGAAGTTATCACAACCAACTAGTACGGGATCACACTGGATGTAACGTGTAAATGGGTAGCCACTCTTGGTAAACTGGATGTCTTTGCCAAACCTGCCGAGTAAATGGAGCCTGAAGTGATTGCATGGTTTATACAAGCATCGGACACGCCTTTAAACAAACAAGAATGTTAGAGAAGTATAAAAACGATGACCGCCTAAGCGATTTCTATCGGTCTACCCACGTTAAGCTTGCTACCAGGTCACACTCGGGATTGCTGCACTATTCTGACAATGGTCTATTTAAAATCGTGAAACGTTCGCTTTATATTTTACGCTACATTTTACTACGGACATAATCAGCTCTATATCTAAGGATTCTTTCAAAAGCAGATGAAAATTTTTTACCGTTTCCCCGTTTTACACTGTGTCAGACGTTTGGAGGTCAAACAAAATATATGATGGGAATTCAGCTGCAGCGAGGTAAGATTCAGTACACAAATGTAGGATTTCGTGACGCAAAGGATGATATTTATTCAGAATAAACATGCGTTATATTTTCTCTCTCACCTAATTAACGTTCCACTGTACATAAGAAGCTAGCTACAAGAAGTATACTACAACAAACGCTGGAAATATTACGCATATAGATATTGCTGTGTAAACTGATGCATGGGTAACGACAACCAGTGATACTGAGAATACTCTCGTTAGAATGCGCAATAAAATCTACAGAGTGGAGCAACGTTTATGTGGTTCATGCATCGAGTCTGATGTCTGTGTATACGGATCGTTCTTGCTGTTGGATAGTTAACTTCACTTTACTATTTTAGCCATCATCATCATTACCTTCTGCTGTATTCCGTGCATTTCACTGCATTTGCTTGCGGAACCTGTGCTTCTGTTGTTACGTCAAAATCCACAAACCGCAAAGTACGTCCCTTTGTTGATGGACTCATTCAATGCAATGATTTGGTATGAGTTTAGTCAGAAAAGTTAAGGCTTATATGACGGTCGTTTTTAAAGAGACCATTTGACACTAATTTAGTAGGTAAAACTGGCCGTTCCCTTGTTGCGGATGTGTTTTCGATGAAGACATGCTAAAAATTTTAATCGCCAATATTTGACGGTAGGTATCTTATATTACTTTTGGGGTCAGCTGCAAATGATGAAAGTTGGAAAAATGTTATTTGACAGTTGAAAGTGTTTCAAAATTCTATCGGTCGCAACTATACCGAGCCCGAGTGAATTTAGATAACTGGAGAATACATGTTACTTTTCGGTATGGAAATTATGTTGAGTTGTAGGGTAAAGTGGTTTTCAATACTATTCTGCATTACAATATCTTCACCAGTAACGATAAATATGGGGATGTAAGCGTGCCTTAATACCCACCCATGGATAAACTAGCAATGACCATTTTAATTTCCTTTCTGCTTGATAGATACTTAATTAGATTCGATGGAATCACACAACGTGTGAAAAATTTACGTGCCAGTGTTTTGAAGCGTTGATGGAAAAGATCTTCGGATAGTGCTAATCTAATTTAATTTGTATTGTGTTGCTTGATATTGAAAACAGCACTACAAAGACTAATGTCATTTGCGTACATGTAGCAAAGGGACGAAAACTGCAACAACATTTGTACAAAGAAGAGCCAGATATTGCTTGTCTTCAAAACAACCCAATAACAGAACTTCCTGTCTTTTGGCTGTGTAAATTGTGTGCTATGTGCGAAACTGTCAATGTTAGCCTTGCATACGCCTGAAGGATTCCCAGCCTTGAAATTATCGCAAGCCGTTTACTAACCGATGAACAAAGGCCGAACAATCTTACTTTGTTTATCTCATGCGGGCTTTGCAGAAAGTAAAACAAGATATATACTATGTGTGAAGCCAGCGGCGGTTGTTGGGTAAAGTTATGAACGTACTCATTGTTATGATTTGTGAAAGTCTAGAGGATAAATAATATTCAACCATTTTAACAGGACATACTTATATTAAATCTAACGATCCTTCTGGTATTTGCTTCTAAACACTAGTAACAGCAAAACAAATTTCGTTATGCTTGCCGTTTTGTAATTCAATAGAAATATTCTTAAACGACCTGTTGAAGTTTCAATGAGTAGACTTGGGTACATCGTAATGTGCGGCAACAAAACAACCTCTGGGCCACTGTTCAAAGTTATCTTTCGCAGTTGAGTTCCCTGTCCGCGCAGATGGACGGCCAACCGTGCCATTTGGGCGTGTTTTTGGTCATTCACAGGAGCAAATGTTAAAATGAAAATAAATGGTGGGATCTATCTAGGTATGCTCTTAGATACGCTTGTAGCTAGTTAGAATTTCCCATACTTCCGCAAAATGCGCCACATTTTAAGAAAATGATAATTTCGATCATCGCAAGTATCCGTTTGAACACAATGTGTGACCACACTTTGTGTCCGCGACCGTCCTAATTGGGCCTGTTTAGACGAATTGTGCTCACTTGAAATCATTTTCGGTTTAGCTTAACGGTTATAGTATAAATTAACTAGAATCTAGGAATCAATTTTGGCTTAACGATGACGGTATTTGCAACTAGGAACAATTTATTCATGGTTCATGGAATGATCGCGTTGGAAAAACCCTTCAGTGTGACCAAAAGTTGTCTAAAAAGTACGCAAATGGAACGGCCAGGGGCACAAATATTGGTCACACATGAAGTTCTAACGGTCACTCCAGCGGACACTTTTGGTCACTCGTGCAGACGGGGTTTCTGATATGTTTCGATATAAATAAAAAGAAAACATACAAGCAGAGTAAATAAAACTATGCAAGCATTATGTTTCCCTTAATAGTGAGAAATACTCAACTTTTAACTTTAAAACCATAGCTCTGCTATACCGCTCAAGATTTAATCAGAGGTTTGTGTAGCATTCCATCACAATTCTCGTCAGTAACGATACAGAACAGTTCAGAGGGAAAAGTTGTTCGGAGGTATTAGGACAGCATTGGGCAAAGCGGAAATGTATTTAACAAGAGTAGGCGCTTCCTATTAAATGTTCGCTTCTTTCTACACTCCAATTGCCCTTGCATGGACAAGGGAATTCTCTCTACTCGACAATAGATGGGTTTACCAGAAAAATGCAGGGCAACACGGTAATTATTGCAACAACACACGAGTACGAACCGTGACGACAGGTCTTCGTTCGTGAGAAGTATGTAATCTGACCAAGGAAACAACATCTGAAGTCTCGCAACGTCGAAGGTTATTCGTTCTTACCTCTGGTGTTTTAGCAAAATCTTTATGCAGCGGTGCCTAAATGTCTTCGTTTTATTCGACGGGCTTGTCATTACAAAACGGTGATCTAAGTTGTTGGGATTTAGCTTTCTGGTTGTAGAAAATTCTAGAGATTTGCTTTTAGATAAAATCAAATATAGCAAAAAGAGCTGCAGATATTGATGCTTACGGCTGGAAACACAAAGTGTTTCAGATTTAAAAAGTGAAGCTAAGAAAAGCCAATTAGCAAAAAGCAATTGCTGTCGCTGGCGACGCTTTGTGTGAGATAGGAAATTAACCCTTTCATAAATGCGTTTTCATAAAACCGAAAGAGAATATAATTAGTTTGTTAAATATGATAACAAATCTACAGAATACCCTCATCTTTGGTTTATGGGCTTGTTAACAACCTAGTATTTACACATGGATGCAAACTACCTGTAGTAGTCACAAGACAATATGCAAAAATGTCATTCGAATTTTGCTGGCGTTTTTCTGTTTTAACTAACAACGATCACATTACGCGTTAAATATCAATTATGCCTTCCATTCCATTGACATATCAAAGGGGGGTATTGCTGCATCAACCGACTCGATGAATTCTTACTTTACCGATACTCTTATTTATGGTTATTTTGAAGTCGTTTTGTATAAAATAACAACGTTCAAAAGTATGGCAGCTGTGCACAGTCTGTTAGGACATTTTAAAGAGCCGACAGAGTACGACAGCAACATTGAAGTTCACGTGGTACTGAGTAAACCTTTTGTACAAATACTTTCCGAGAAAGTAGCAAGAGTGCACCAATATCAAGCAAAACTAATGCCTTAGGGAAAATTGACGATTCCATCTTAATGAACAATTTTATGATGTACGGATTTTGCATAATTGTGAAGGAAAAATTGTTTGCATGATTATATAGGAGTTGTTCGTATCCGGTTAACTATCAACTATCGTGCTGCGAAAGACAATTACCACAGCGTTAAATCCTTCATAAAAAGTGCACATAAAAACACAAATGTCGTGGGCTAGTACACCAATTTCTAGCGAAACATTCCGCTAGGTTTTGAAGTTTCGTTTCTTTTTTCACCTGCAGTATTGTCCTCCACATTGCAACTGTTGACCCCATGAATTTTTCTTGTGACTTGTGGCACAATGGAACAATGGTATATTACGGGCAAAAATGCGGATGCTTGGCAAGTCCGGTAGGATGGCCAGAAAGAGAACCACAACCTGGTGAATAAAAAACAAAGGGTTACAATTACAATCGTTTGCGCGAACTCACCCCAGGGTTCACACAGTTGAATTGGTGGCCTCTCAAATTCGTGTTGTGGCTGAGTTGTAGTAGGTGGTGGCAAATATGGTTAGGATTCCTTAGAACCTGGTAGCCCATAATATGCTGACCACGTACGCGCCGTTATAGATCACTGTATAAATTTAGGGTCCTCAGCCATTTGAGGTGCTTCGTGGCTAGGCGCTGTGGAGTCTCCAGCGCTGTAAAGTCTTATCTTGCCAGGGTTATCAGGCCTGGATTGCTTATTCCACATGTGGCCGTACGTATATGTTAAACAACCGCCCAATGCGCTCGCCAAATTTCCAACTTGTCGGTTTCAAACGTCTAACATCTTTTCAGATTGAACTAAGTAGCCAACGTCAGCCTAAATTCGAACCCTAAAGTAGCGCTCGTGGGTGACTGTTCGCAAGATATGGTCTCCAAGCTTGTGTGCAATGTTCGACTGGTGGCGGGATAACCCGATTAGAATTTCCACCTATCCGGTAGACAGCATGAGTAAACCACGAAAAATCAGCCTTTTAACTGTGTAATAACAAGACCATAAATCCGAAAGGGCGTAACTGGGAAGATAGCACGCGTTGCTTTTACATTTTATTTGCGGTGACGTACAGAATGCGGCGAAGGTCAGGGTTATCATGCATTGCTTATGCACAGGTTTCTCGGAAGAAGACAAGTACCCATGAGCAACAAATCCCTAACAAAACTGCAGGCTTCGAGATATTAAACCTCCGAAAGGGATTGCTTTATACTGTAGTGGTCATCTTTAAATACAGCTTTATGTATTCAATGCCAGATAGTTAATATGTTGTATGTTCTCGCACCCATTCAAATAAGCTAGATATACTGGTCTACTTAGTTAGTTGCTAGCACCGTCTGTGTTTCAGAGCACCGAATCATACAATGTTAGATTACTGATCGTCAAACAAATTTGATCTCCAAGAAACAAGTGAACATTTAAGACGGGGTAAGCAGGAGAGACCAACAAAAAAGAAAAT